GTAGGGTGGGGTAAGGTGGTTGTGGAGTGTGGAGTATGGTTGAGATTGGGTAGGGTGTGGACGAGAATGGTGTCGAGAGTGTTGAAAAGGGAAAAAAAAGTACGAATTAGAGAAAATAGGAAAGAACGATATTTACGAACTAAGATGAGAATAACGAGAGAAAAGAAAATTAAAGAAAAGAGATAGAGATGAAAAATGAGACGAGATAACAGACAATCCATTGTATGTCCATTAATTAAAAGAAAGAGAAGAAAAAAAAAAATTGGAGTAAAAGAGAGAGAAAGAGAAAAAGAATTGTTGAGAATGTGAAAGTCTGATGATGCACAGAAGAAGGAGAGATGAAAGAGTGAGAAAGTAGAGAGAGAGAGGAGAGAGAGAGAGAGGGAGGGAGCCCATTTCATCACCACAACTACCACTACCCCCACCACAATTACCACTATCACCACCACCACTACCACTACTACCACCACCACAACTACCACCAAAACTACCCCCACTACCACCATCACCCAGACAATCAACAAAGTCAGTAGCAGCGTCAGACACTGGAGCCGCTAGCTGACACGAAGCTGTCAGCACCAGCTGACATGAAGCTGTCAGCACCAGCTAACAGCTCAGTGATCATCACTAGCATAACCACAGCCGGAGATAACATTTGCGAGATGCTTGCTAAACCCATAGGGGCCATACGGAGCTCATACAGATTTGCCTCAGAAATGGGGAGGCTAACAATTTCCTCGAATCAAGAACCCTCCATCAGGATCAACTACTCGAGGCTTAGGCTCTTAATCCAGTGAACTGGAGCTACCCTTGCCTGTCCTTGGATCAGACTTGATTGCTTCCCCTCTCCAAGACGCTCTGTGACCCCGATGGATTTAGCGCTTTTTTATTAATATTATTTTTAGTGTCGTTTCAATTTACGATATTACTGCCGCGATATTTTTAAAGATTTGATTGTGTATGTTTGTATGTCAGCTTTAATACACCACCTGGTGGCACGATGAAGTATTAAAGCTGTGTATTCAATACACATGCAGTGGTGTGTATGTGTGTGTGTGTCCTTGTGGAACCTAGTACTGGTCCTTGTGGAACCCAGTACCAGCTCTTGTGGAACCCAGTATTAGTCCTTATGGAACCCAGTACCAGCTCTTGTGGAACCCAGTATTAGTCCTTATGGAACCTAGTACCAGCTCTTGTGGAACCCAGTATTAGTCCTTATGGAACCCATCTCGTCACACTCGGCCATTCCGACACCTCTTCTCGGACAATAACTCCCTGTTTCTTTCGTGTTAAGTATTCCTTGATCAACTGTCGTCTGTTATTCCTGCCTCCTCTAGTTTTTGTCCCAGTCTCTTGTGTGGTACTACAACGAACGCCTTCATATAGTCCCAAAATATACAGTCCACCCATCACTCTCTCTCATTCCTAACTTTCGTTTTCCCCTCATTGAACTCTAGAAGATTTGCGAGACAGGATTTGCCTTCTTTAAAATCGTGTTCTATGTTTATGAATTCTCTTCTTTCTAAGTGCTTCACTAATCTTATAATCGTCTCCATAACCTTACAATGCATGGCAGTGATATTAATTTGTTGTGCTACCTGTCTGTCCCTTTTATAATATTTGGAAAAGGTTCACTGTTGTCCAGGTATCAGGCGGCTACCCTGCTTCAGTTGGCTTGTTGAAGATCGCTGCTAGTGGTTCACATAGTTCTCCTCTTCCCTCTTTCAGAACCCACAGAGAGATGCTGCCTCCGGGAAATCTAGCTCACCCAGTAATTACTTCACCTCACCTCCCGTTGTGTGCACTGTGTCCAGTGCTCGTTGGTGCAACCTTCCACACTTTGACTCCCTGGCAATCTTCTAATTCCGCTGAGAATATCTGCCTAAGTCTTTTGCTCAGCTCCTATCAGAGTTCCTGGTCATTCGTAGTTCCTTCTTTCCTTCCTTCACCAGCCTTATTTCTGGAGCCTTCACAGTTACTTTCTTGCTGGTGTGGCTATACGGTAACTTTGGTTTAGATCTGGCTTTCTATACTATGTCATAATCAAATTGTCATTCAGCCTTTCTTCTTACTCACGTGTATTCATTTCTGACTCTCCTGCTTGCTTCTCTGGTATTCTTTGCTTTATATATTTATTCCGTGCTTTTGCACTTTTAGCTTTTGCTTCCCTGCACCTGCGGGTGAACCATGGACTTACTCTGTTCTTGCCTATGCTTCTCCTCCTGTGTATGAATTTCTCTTCTGCTTCCCGGCACTTTCCAGCCACATACTCCATTTCAGTCACTGTATCACTGTATTTCCATGTAGCTCCCTCTCTCATGGCTCTACCACTTAGAAATCACCTTTATTCCCAGTCTGCATTTCTCTAAAAATTCACTTCCACAAGGCATTCACACCTCAGCACTGCACGGTCGGTGGCACTCTGGGGCCTCTCATATTCAATGTTCCTTACATCAGCGTCACTTAGGGTGAACACATGGTCCAGCCTCGCTGGTGCGCCTCCTCCTCTCTTTCTAGTTATGTCCCTGACATGCTGACTCATGAAGTTTTCCATCGCCACCTCCAACACCTTAGCTTTCAACGTATCTGGTCCTCCGTGTGGCTCCAGCTTTTCCCAGTTTATTTCCTCATGGTTAAAGTCTCCTGTGACCAACAGTGTCGTACTGCCCATGTGGACTCTTCTAGCTGCCTCTGCTGTGCTCACCGTAGCTCTGTTGTTGTCATCATAATCCTACCTTGGCCTCCTGCTGTTTAATGGTGGGTTATACATCACTGTTATTAACACCATGGTTCCCCCCTTCCCCTTTTAATGTAGTCCTTTGATCTCTCTCTGAGTACTCCACTCATCCCAAGATTCCACTGGTTTCTGATTAGCAACGACACTCCTCCACCTCATCTTTTCTTTTCTCCCATTTCTCATTATTTGCTATTTTTCTGGGAAGATCGTGTGTATTATCATATCCTTGATCATAGTCTCTGTGTCTAGGTATACTTCCACTATCCTCTCTTTCCATTCGTCACTCCTATTTGTTATCCCATCTGTATTTTAACACCACACTTTCAGTTCTTTCTCTTACTGTGCTCTGTTGTTCGGGTTCCAGTTCTGAAGGCTGGATGTAAGTGTGTGTGTGTGTGTGTGTGTTAGAGAGAGAGAGAGAGAGAGAGAGAGAGAGAGAGAGAGAGAGAGAGAGAGAGAGAGAGAGAGAGAGAGAGAGAGAGAGAGAGAGAGAGAGAGAGAGAGAGAGAGAGAGAGAGACAGACAGACAGACAGACAGAGAGAAATTCTCTCCCCTTCACTTCCTCAAAACTCCATCTTTCTCTCTCTTTATAAAAACTAATTTTAAATTCCCCCCCAGAAACTGCATTTTATCCACACCTTCCTCACTCGGCCTATGAATCGACCTCAAGATTGCCTCGACTCACTCAATTCACAGATAAGGTCGATCTTATTTTTACAAAAGGGTGAGGGACTCGACAATGAAGTTGGACCTCTGGAAGTTGAACCCGCCTTCTCTTCAGCTAATGATAACTTCATTTGTCGCCCATTCAGGCACGAAGCTGTGTTTTGATTGGCTGTAGAGGACGAAGCTCCTCTGAATGGCTCTAGGGGTGCGAAGCTGTTTTGATTGGCTTTAAGGGACCAAACAGTATTCTGATGGGTTCTGAGGGAACGAAGCTGGTTCTGATTAACTCTAGCCTACCCTAATCTAGCTTAGTCTAATTTAACCTAAACTAACCTAACCTAGCTGGAACCACAACACACAATACCGTGACTGCAACAAGCATACCACACAATACCGTGACAGTAACAAGCATAACACACAACACCGTGACTGCAACAAGCATACCACACAATACCGTGACTGCAAAAAGCATAGCACACAATACCGTGACTACAACAATCACAACTAGCTCACAGTTTAGAAAGGCAATCTCGGGCGATGTTTAGGTCCTTCGTGACTCGATAAGGGTCTAGGACGGGGCGAAACATCGTATGTAGTGCCCTCTCTCAATGCTACTTTAAAATGTCAAGTTCCACAGTTGAATGAGACAAGGAGACGTGAATCTTACTTTTGATTGGGTGAATCCTGACAAAGTCTTACCAATCAGAGAGAGAGAAGCAATACTCACATAGCTGCTGATGACACAGTGGTCGTGTGAGGGGTTGTGAATCCAACAACTGTGTCGTTCCAAGGCGCCAGAGGTGATCTACACACATAACCACACATACACACACACACACACACACACACGCACACACACACATCGCGTTACACACGTGTATTGACCAAAATAGGTTTTCAATACACAGAAGAGAAAATGGCCTCAGTATCATGGTACCTCACATCTTAATATCCGGCTCCAGCTGAACCTATTTTCTCCTTCATGATTTCAATTTTTTTTCAATTTTTTTCTGGTTACAACGAGTGTATGTATATATATATATATATATATATATATATATATATATATATATATATATATATGTCGTGCCGAATATGTAAAACTGGTCAATTAGCAAGAACTCATTTAAAATTAAGTCCTTTCTAAAAAAAATTCTTATACGTTTAAAGATATATTTTTTTCATTAATGTTAATGTAAAAAATTTTAATTTTGCTCCAAATGAATTTTAGAAAACTTACCTAACCTTATTATAACAAGAAGAATATATTTTAGACTAACCCAACTAAATATATTTTAGATTTGTTTACAATAATTTAATAATAAACAAAGACAGTGAAATATATTTTTTTCGTTAGGTTCAGAATGATTTTGGCGAAATTATTGCATACACAAATTTTCACTTGTCCTATATGGCAAGATGAGCGTTGCTATTTAAGCCAAGATCGCAAGTTCTGCCTATTCGGCACGACATATATATATATATATATATATATATATATATATATATATATATATATATATATATATATATATATATATACATATATAAATGTTTATTTCCAAAATCAACAAATCGCCTTTTTATCCTTTTCAGAATGATGGATTCCCCTCCTCAGAGAAAATTTACTCATCTCTCTTGGCTAAGTACTTTTCTAACAATTGTGTCCAAACAACTATGTGTTTATCACCTTGAAATATATTCTTTTAATTCACGTCCTCGTTTGAGTAAAAAAATTATAATTTCCAGCTTTGAATTCTATCTAGTTAACCCGTTTATCAGTTTCTTCTTACATAATTGTGCTTTAACAGGCTTTGAGCTACAGCTCCTGGGTCTCGCAACTTAATTCTCCAATCTTGTGAATTCTTTCATACCTGTTCCTAAATCTGTGTACGAAATTTGCTTCAACTACCGTTCTACTTGGTTTCATTTGCTGCTTTGGCACTGAGGACGATTTCTGATCGTGCTTCGCTTCCTGTCTTCTTTTTATCCTTCCAAGCTGCATGACCTTGAGCATATTCAGGTTAAAGTTGAACACTTACTTGTTTAATCGCCGTTGAAACATTTTTAAGTCTTCCTGAAGGCTGCCTCTATTTTCTGATGTTTGTGTTCTCGTTAATTTTACACATCTGCAAATATAAACACGTGTGAGCCTTTCTCGTTTGTTATGTTGTTTACGCATGTGAGGAACAGCAGCGGCCCCAGTACTCATCCTTTGGGAATCAAAAAGATTTCCTCTCATACTGCCATACGTTTGTTGAACTGGTGTGGTGATACTGGAACACTGTAAAAAGCAACATGTGCACAAAATAAGACAATAACGAAAAGCTGCGCTACGAGTAGTTTCTTCAATCCTAATGAAGAAACCACTCGTGGCGAAACGTTTTCTTGTTAAGGTTTTCAATCTGCGTATACATGTCTCTTTCCACAAGTGTCTTCCGTCTTTCAGGTCCTCCTTGAGCCAATTGTGGACCCTCCCACTGCACCCAGGCAACAAGCAGTGTCAAGTGTTGTCTTGCAGTCCAAGAATATGCAGTCCACACAGCCCCTACCTTTCTTGCTTTATCACAGTAGATTTGCATGGCATTCCATAGGGTCGTCAGAGAGGACCCCTTCTCTCTCTCACTTTTCAATGACAAAGTCCCTCCTCTCCAGGTATTGTAGCACCATGCTGCTAGCAGGAAGCACCTCAGTGATACCAGCCTGTAACTCACCGCCTCATACCTCTCCCACTTCCTAAACATAGGAATAACACTGGCTGAAGAAGTCCAGCTATCCATCCGGTAGCCGTCGCATATTTGGTGACTTGAAGATTTTTGCTGTGCGCTCACACAGCGCCCCTGCTCCTTCCATTAGTACCCATGTATTGCCAGGTCCCTTGTCTATGTTGAAGATGGTATAAAATACCGACATGTTGATGATTAAGACACATGTGCAACAGTTCAGCTCCATTTAGCTGAACTCTTCTCCAGGCTGAGGAACTGATCACCTCAAATACTTTTTATTCAAGGTTGATGGACTGATTACATCATCTTCATTTCACTACTACACCTGCTGCCTCTGTATTTGACTGAAGAAGCCTACTGTATAGGTGAAACGTTTCAACATTAACGATACCCAACTGCTGCACACGTGTCTTAATCATCACGTCCCTTGTACTTTGCCTGCAGTTCCTTTAGATTCTCTATCACTTTCTCCTTTCTTGTGCAGATATCTTCCGCTTTGGGTTAATCTCTCCTGGTTCCTGTGTTTCCTGTTATCATTGTGTGTCTATCACTTTGAATATTCTCTTTAGTTTTTCACATATCTTCGTATTGTCTACCATCAGTGTTCCTCTTTCCTTCTTCAGTCTTATCTCTGGCTCCTTCAGCTCTTCCTATAACATTTATATTATATTATACAGATATCAGTCACACTTATCTAATAAATCTGCAAACCTTATTATTGAGTAATTACCTTCATATAGTTGAATTTCATATTCGATTTCGTCTAAACCTGATTCGTTTTGAGTGAATATTACGTCAAGTCTTGCTGGTTCATCCTCATCTCTCATTCCTTTAATCTTACTTCACTTGTTGGATTAATGTTTCTCTATGCTGCCTCCACATTTCTATTCCTCAGTGTGGTTTAAAAAATTTCCCAACAATTTTATCTTATATATCTCGTTTTTGTCGTTTATGTTAAGCGCTAAACCCTTGTGGATCACTCAGCGCAAGACGTGATGGAGGCTTGATCCTCCGTCTGCTGAGCGCTAACTAGATGGGCTTCTTATTTGTACTCAACTATTTTCTGATATACAGTGGAACCCTGGTGCTTGAACTTAACTGGTTCCTAGCTGGTGTTGGAACTGCGAAAAGTTCGATGTCCGAAACAGCATTTCCCAGGCTTTAATTAAAGCCAAGGGGAAGCGCTAAACCCGTAGGATTATGCAGCACAAAATTGTTCAGACTCCGGTTTGTTCGAGGTCCGATACATTCGAACACCGAGGTTCCACTATATCTCATACTCAGCAGCTTATGCTCTGTGCTGTTGCTTCGAATTGCCTTCCTTATATCCCATTCTTAGCCTCCTGGTATCTGTTAGAGTTTCATATCACTGATGTCATCAATGGTCTCTTCTCTCGTCACTTTTCCTACTGTGTATTCTTTGTATTCTCTACTGTTCATGTTTTTCAGTTTCTCGAGCCTTAAGTAGTTTTTTTCCATCAGAGTTTTTCTTCGTCTCCTCTGTTTTCCCTTTTTTGGTCACCATGTGATATCCTCTGGGGAAAATGCATTAGTTATTTGTCCACATGAGTTTGGTCTCTTTAATAACCATGATACCTGGTTCATCCTTTGTTGTTATAGTCTTCCTTTGCTCGCCTCGCTTGTTAGAGATGCAATCAGCATTTGTACAGCACTTTTTGTTGCGTCTGCATTTGCTGAGTAGTCTAATTTGTTCTGTCATCTAGACTTCTTTTTCCTTTTTTTTCCTGTCTCAATCCCTTCTATATCCCTCTCTTCTATATATGGTCCAAGTTGGACCGAAACGTAGTCATGAACTTCTACGTGCGCGTTATTTGTGTATTGTACTAGGTGTGGGTAATGTTGTTGGGCAATTGAGGCCTTTGAAAGATGGAATGTTGGAGGATTATGGATATCCAGTTGTAGGGTGGAGAAATATATAAGAGGAGAGATTTTGAGGGGAAGGCGTGGGAAAGGCTGAGACTGGAAGCTATGATAGGAAAACTAGTAGAGATATGGTTTTGATATATATATACATATATATAATATATATATATATATATATATATTATATATATATATATAATATATATATATATATATATATATATATATATATATATATATATATATATATATTATATAATATATTATATATATATATTATATATATATATACATATATATATATACATATATATATATATATATATATATATATATATATTTATATATATATATATATATATATATATATATATATATATATATATGTCGTGCCGAATATGTAAAACTGACCAATTAGCAAGAACTCATTTAAAATTAAGTCTTTTCTGAATTTTTCTTTTATACGTTTAAAGATATATTTTTTCATTAATGTTAATGAAAAAAATTTAATTTTGCATCAAAAGAATCTTAGAAAACTTACCTAACCTTGTTATAACAAGAACAATTTATTTTAGCCTAACCCAACTAAATATATTTTAAATATGTTTACAATAATTTAGTACTAAACAAACACAATCAAATATATTTTTTTCGTTAGGTTCAGAATGATTTTGGCGAAATTATTGCATACACAAATTTTCACTTGTCCTATATGGCAAGATGAGCGTTGCTATTTAAGCCAAGATCGCAAGTTCTGCCTATTCGGCACGACATATATATATACATATGAGGAGCGTGAAGGTGTGAGGTAGAACTGGGTATAGTCTCTGGTGGGATGAGGCAGCAGAGGAGGCTGTAGCCAGGGTAAATATTGGCTGCGACTTGGTTGAATCCAGTTCAACCAACAACAACTTTAGTTTCAGCTTTAAAGTTTACAGGTTCTGCTCTGTTCGACGGTAGTTTCGTCCCCCCCCCCTCCCCCATCCTTATTCACAAGATTTGTTCTGTTTTATGATCGGTTTATCACATACTTATAACTTTCCACGAGTTCTTTTCTTTCTCTGTTCAGTCTTGTTCCTTCTTTGTTCAATGTGGCTGTAACATACTTTAACAAATTTGGCTCTGTATTTCATATAATTTTTTTAATTGCCTCTTCTCTTTTTCTACTGCTTTCTGGTTTTATTCCATTCTAATGCTCATGTTCAATTCTCTGATTTCTTTCCTTGGGTTTTTCTGTTATTTTTTTCACTCTTGTTATAGTTCCGTTCCCTTGCATTGTCTGCTGTACCCTATGTTTCGAGGGTAATTATCCGCTGTATGTCCGGTTACAGAAGCAGAGTTTATCTTGCTAGTGTCCAGTCTTCACTCTTTTAATGTTTTCTGTAAGTTCTTTTAGTTTTAAGTTGTCCTTCTGGATGTTACTTGAACAGTCTTATACTAATGTGTGTGTGTGTGTGTGTGTGTGTGTGTGTGTGTGTGTGTGTGTGTGTGTGTGTGTGTGTACTTACCTAATTGTGATTGCACGGGTCGAGTCACAGTGTGTGTGTGTGTGTGTGTGACAACACCTCAGTGAAAAATAGTAGAACATAAATACCTAAATACTTTCATGTATTAGTCACACCATCTTCAGTGGAATTAGAGAAGAAGTATGGAGGAAAGCATATTTTAGAGCAATCTAAGGAAGGTCAAAGTCCCCACATGAACTGATTTGGAAGAAAAGAAATGTAACTGGTAATTATCTTAAGTCACAAAGAATTTCATGCCAATGACTAGCTCAAAACATGTATTTTGCAAGTAATATTTGTAATAACTCTCAACTAACAACTCTCTTGTCCAACGTATTATAATATTAGACAATAAAATATTACCCCAACACAGACACGAGTATTCAAGGTTGTCAGTAAGGTTAATATCAATGTTGGAGGCGCATTACCTGGCTTTTGTTTTATAATACACTAAAATACTACTGTCATACTCCCTATTTCCAATAGACCCACCAGTCAAAAGTGCACATTTCTGGCCGTAACTGCATTATGTTAAGTCAAAAATACTACTGTCATACCCCTTAAAATTTATAATACAATGACTAACATTAATCGAACTTGAAAAAGGGAAGTAAACAATGTAACCAGACACCATTATATTTTAAAAAAGGCTAACTCAAAAAAAATGCTAAAATTGCTGTCCACTGTCTTAATCAACCTAAGGAAGTTAATACACATTCCAAAACAAGCCACAAAAAAACAAACAAAGAGAGGCTCTTCACTGGTCTTAACTAACCGTGCATCTCCCCACCATTCCTGAAGAGCTAACGAGGGACTGTTTTGGGGTCGACAGCGCGGGGAGGTCGGGCGGCCGGAGCCATCATGGGGGCAGTGAAGGAGTGGCTCACAACATGCCGGGAGTCGCGCAAGCTTATCCTCGTCATTGTTGCCATCGCTCTCCTCCTCGACAACATGCTCCTGACCACCGTAGGTAGGTGCTGCCTTGCTGTCAGAGCCTCCGAAGGTAAGTAGGTTGATTGCATCCCCTGTTGTAGATTCCTGACCACCGCAGGTAAGTACCTCTGTTGTCAACGACTTCGAAGATAAGCAAGTTAGTAGCATCTCCTGTCGTAGGTTCCTGACCACTGTAGGTAGGTACGAAGGTGCTGCCCTGCCGTCAGAGCCTCCGAAGGTAGATAGGTTAACTGCATCCCCTGTCGTAGGCTCCTGACCACCGTAAGTAAGTGGGTCTTCGTTGTCAGCGACTTCGAAGGTAGCCTAGGCCTACCACAAGCTTCTATTTATCATTATTAAGTCAACATCGTCAGCGCCTATGACTGACGGATTCCCTGCCGCTGCTTGGAGAGGCGTAGGTCCCCGGGAGTGGGGACTGTCCCCCGCTCCTTTTCCATTCTCCTTTATCTTTCCCCTTTCCCTCACCCCTTTTCTCCTATTCCTACACCACTCTCCCCTAAAGGGAGGTTCCTTGATGCTGGTGAGGGGCTCTTGATCCAGGGCACTGGACCTGTCATCCCCCTTCCTTGGGGATAAACTTGATTACCTCCTGTTCTCCTCGGACTCTATATGACCCGTAATTTACCTCTCCTTCGTCAGTAGAATAATAATCTTTCATCGTCAACATCTTTATTCGCTTCCCCCCTCTCTCTCTCTCCAGTCTATCCTTATCAAATTTCATTCACATATTTCCCTCTCCTTCATTGTTCCTTCTATCTTTTACGTCGCCTGTTCCTCTATCCTTCCTTCTCCAACTTTTTCCCTTTTCTCTAACCTCTCTTCCATCTCCTACGTCACTTTTTTGTCTTCTGCCACTGCTCTCTCTCCATCGTGTCCCTTCCCTCCCTTCTACACTGCCTCACCCCTCAGTAGCCCTGATCAGGGACGTCATGGAGATACCTCACTCTCTCTCTCTCTCTCTCTCTCCTTTTTTTTTTACAGGGTTTAACAAGGATGGGTTTACAGGTTAAGGATTCCTAACTTTATTGGCAGGCTAAGAGCTGTTACCTACATCAGCTCATTTGAAAGCATTTTTGTTGTTATGAGACATACAAGTAGGGAACAGGATGAAGTTGGAGCCATCTGTGGGCCAGCATTTTCATTTGATCAACTGACTTTATCTCGTTGACATCATTATGCTGTACGAATGTGTTCCATACACGAATCATCCTGGGTATATATGATCTCAGATGGAGTGATGTTCTGGAGATGGGCACAGCCAGAGTGAAGTTGCTGCTTTCTGCCCGTCTTGTGGCATAAAAGCTTGTTTCACGCTGTCCTCGAAGTGGATCCAATACACAAATAACCCGCACATAAAAGGTGACTTTGTCAATGGTCCAAGTCAGACCGAAACGTCGTCGTAAGCTTCTCTCTTTTATGTGCGGGTTATTTGTGTATCGTTCCAGTCACGGTATTGTGCCTTTTTGTTATTTATAAGTGAATCCAAGTGTGGTACTTTGACAATATTGGCCTTGTACATAACAGTAAGGCCACCCACATCCCTCCTGTGTTGAAGGCTCTGCTGTACATGTGTCTCTACCTCTCTATACTTCAACAGTTCTTAGTCTCGCAGACAACGGATGCAAGATGGAGCCTGCAGCAGTCTTGACCTCTCCACGTAGGTATGGAGTCCCGTATCGTGTTTCAGTTCCCCCATAACTTAGTTAATATTGCCAGGACACTAGCAGCTTCCGCTACAAAGAACATAAAGTCATCAGTGCCATGGTTGGAAGCGTTCACCTAAAAACCCACACTTATGAGAGAAACCTTGTGATGACGTTTCGGTCCCTCCTGGACCGATGTCAGGTCGGTCATGAGGTTCCTCTTCTAAGCGCGAGGTTCCTCTCCTAAGCGATTCCAAGCTGAGGGACTGATTACCTCAAACTCCTTCTCATCTTCAACCATTCTTCTTTGTCCTGGACTGATGAAGCCACAGTGTGGCGAAACGTTTCCACACCAAAGATATCAAAGTTTTGCACTTGTGTGTAATGTAACAACTTGTCGGTTTTCTGAACCAATTATCAACAACATTCAGACCACATCGTATGATCAACACTTTAAATCACGAAATAAATTACTTTTGGCAATGATTTAGGGCAAACTGTCCTACCCGGTGAATCAGATAAGAAATTCCCATATACTTCTCCCTCTTACCCGCGTTTATTTCGTCTCTTTCAGTTCCCATCATCCCTAAATACCTGTACATCTTACGCCACCCCAACGCCACGGCCCCAGCTCCAGTAGACACCACCACCATCACCAACGCCACCACCACCACCACCACCCCAATACCACCTGCACTCATCCCACGGTATGGTAAGTACCACTAGTAGTTATTCAGTGGGAAACTTGTGATAGTTAACCAGAATACAGTGGACTCCCGGTTTTTGAACTTAATTGGTTCCTAGGTGGTGTTGGAACTGCGAAAAGTTCGATGTCCGAAATTAAAGCCTGGGAAATACTGTTTGGAACATTAAATTGCGTTTGTTATAATAAGGTTAGGTAAGTTTTCTAAAGTGCTTTTGTACAAAGTTATTAATTTTTATATTAACATAAATGAAAAAAAGAATATCTTCATCGAACTTTTCGCAGTTCCACCACCACCTAGGCTGATAATTTTCAGCCTCACACACTGGAGGATGTTGAACTGACACTTCCAAAAGTCTCTGAGAGTTAGGTCAGTGTCATAGGTAACTTCAAAGCAATTTTAAAACAGGGCTTTCCTGTCAAGTTTTCTTACAACTGAATTTTAAACAAGTCAGCGTGTTCCGACTCCACGAAAACGTTCAAAGAGCTGATGAATTTTTTCTGAACAACTGTTAAGACTCCGGTTTGTTCGAGGTCCAGAACGTTCGAACACCTGGATTTACGTATGTACAATTCAGACTTAAATACGCTGAGTCCAGCTGTATTAACCCAATACTAGGATTTGTAGTTACAGTAAGATGGATTTGTTCAGGCATTGTGTATTTATCAGATGCACTGTGCAACTGACGTGTGTACGTACATGCTGTGCAATGACGTGTACGTATTGTGGCAACTGACGTGTGTCGTCATGCTGTGCATGAGTGTGTAGTAAAATCTGTGCAACTGACGTGTGATACATGCTGTTAAACTGACGTGTGTACGTACATGCTTTTCAACTGACGTGTTACTACGGCTGTACATGACGTAACGTACATGCTGTTCAACTGACGTGTGTACGTACATGCTGTTCAACTGACGTGTGTACGTACATGCTGTTCAACTGACGTGTTTACATACATGCTGTACAACTGACGTACGTACATGCTGTACAACTGACGTACGTACATGCTGTACAACTGACGTACGTACATGCTGTACAACTGACGTGCCTATATGCTGACGCTGTCACCAGTTCGTCAGCAATGATCAAAATACAAAAAAATAGACCTAATTTCAATTTGTTTTTGTAACTCAAAAATCTTACACTGGAGGCTAATTTAGATTTCGGCATCGACGTCAACAAAATTTAATTAATAATAATAATAAAAATTTAATTAATAATAATAATAATAATAATAATAATAATAATGATAATAGCAATAACAGCATTCTTTACCTCAGAATCAGATTGTTGTCCAGAGTGGCTGAGATTTAGATTTAGATTTAGATTTAGATTTAGATTTAGATTTAAAAAGAAGTTTGGTAGCAATCAATATATTTTTTGTTCATGACGTTATAAAAATTAAAAAAAGAGAATTCATGGACCTATGCATATACATATGCATAAACCTGTTCTAGGCAGGATATACATATATACATGTATACACTGATAGTATATTTAAGCACTATCTTAGGAATTAAGGTATTCTTGACTGATGGTTAACTATCTTGCAAGCGTAACGTAGTCGATAGACTTCAAACCCAATTAATAAGCAACCAGCCAGATTCATTTTCATTATTTTTTTGAAGATACGTTGTTTGTCACAAGGCAAACCTACATTAATGATAGTTAGGCAATTTGTTTGCTCTAACTACTGTAGAGCTAGTTAATGTCTTATAAGCGAAATGGCCCTCTAGCAAGGCCAATGCTTCTTTCTTGTTGTCTTTGACACAGTTAGAAGTAGTTAGTTAGTTAGCCTATAGTTATCTTTCCACCTCTTATAATGAGTTAAGTTCAACCCGAAAATAAAGAATTTTTTTTTTTTTAAGGTCTAGTTTTATAGTGTGGTCGTTGGTGCGTAACGAGCCGTGACTTGTCTGCCACAGAAGGGTGTGCGCCGTGTCCGTGTGCATGGGAGGAAGGGGGTGACACCACCCAAGAAACCACCCCTACACTACCCCCGACAACCACGCCTCGCTGCCCCCACCCGCCACCCGTCGCTGAGCAAGGTGAGTTTCTCCCCACCTCTGCCCCCCACCCAGGGGGGTCATGTGATAGTAACTCCAGCGCTGCTGGAACAAAACCTTTGAAGCTGCCGTAGTTACTGAACCTTTAATGAAATTCTTGACGATCTCCTCATTACCCAACTGAAGTTTCCCAGTTCAGACTTATATAATTTCTTCTCCCATGCTACTTACGCACGTTATACTTCCTTCTCCCAGACACCCTGCTTGGGAGAGGAAGTACAGACACTGTTCCGTCCAACTACCACACATCACCCACCCAGTACATCCACCACACATCACCCACCAGTACAACCACCACACTCACCACCCAGTACATCCCCCACAAACCCTCACCCACCCGTACATCCACCACACATTACCCACCGTACTTTCCCAACCCCACATTTCCCACCCATGTACACCCCCACCATCACCCCATCTTCCACATCACCCAAGTACATCCACCACAAAATACCACCAGTACATTCCACCACACATCACCCACCCAGTACATCACCCACATTACCCACCCAGTAAATCCACACATCACACCTCACACCCCCTTCACCACCCTATCACTCTACCACCAGTTCTTTCCCCCACCATCACCCACCTACATACCAAAACATCACCCACCGTACATCCACCAACATCACCACCCAGTACAATCCACCAACATCACCCCCCCAGTACATCCACCACACTCACCCACCCAGTACATCCACCACACATCACCCACCCAGTACATCCACCACACATCACCCCCAGTACTCCACCACACATCACCCACCCAGTACCCCCACCACCACATCACCACCCAGTCACCACCCACTCACCCCCCAGTACCCCCACCCAATACTCACCAGTCCACCCCCACAATCACCCACCCAGTACCACCACCAACATCACCCCCCAGTACCACCCACCCCAATTCACACCCCGTTTCCACCACCACACATCACCCACCCCGTACACCACCCAATCACCCCCATTTCCACCATACATCACCACCCAGTACCCACCAACCCCATCACCCACCTACACCAACACACATCACCCAGTACCACCCAAAACATCACCCACCCAGTCCCACAAACATCACCCCTAGTTACCCCAACACATCACCCACCCCGTACCAAACCCCAAACCACCCTAGTACCCATCACCACACATCACCCACCAGTACCACCACCACACATCACCCACCCCGTCCACCCCCCCCCACATACCACCCAGTACCACCCCTACACATCACCATACTCACCCCAAGTACCACCACCACAATCACTCCCCAAATACCACCACCAACATCCCACCCAGTAAAACCACCACACATCACCCACCCAGTACCACCACCAACATCACCCAGTTTCCACCACCACATTTACCCACCAGTACACCCCCACACATCACCCACCCAGTACCCCCACCAACATTACCCCCCAGTACCACCACCACACATCCCCACCCAGTACCACCACCACACCATCACCCACCCAGTACCACCACCACCATCACCCCCCAGTCCACCACACACATCACCCACCCAATTACCACCACCACACATCACCACCGGTACCAAAACACACACATCACCACCCAGTACCACCACACATCACCACCCAGTCCACCAAAACACATTTACCCCCAGTACCAACACCCCCATCACCACCCATTACCAACACCACACATCACCACTCCACCTACCAACACAATCATCACCACCCAGTACCCACCACACATCACCCACCCAATACCACCACACACACCACCCAATACCAACCACCAAACATCACCACCCAGCACCAACCCACAAATCACCACCTCAGTACCCCACCACACATCGCCACCCAATACCACCACAACAAACGCCACCCAGTACCAACACCACACACCACCACAGTACCCCCACCCCAATCAACCACCCATCACCACACACATTTCCACTTCTCCCTCACAGAAACACAGACCTCTCAACAAGGAATTCCTCAAAAATGATCCTCCAACTTCTCAGCTGACCAACCACACCCAGGCAACCCCCACAGCACAGCAAGAGAACAGCCCGCCACACGAACACTCCAAAAGTTACGCACATGGAATCACGAAACTTGGTAACGAAACGTGGAAGGGTTTATACTTCCAAACCGTCAGTTGTCACCACCCCCCTTATCGTCCCTAACCCCAATAACTGAAGGTACATGTCCCAATGAACGTGGGGGAAAGGGTTAGCACCCCTGGAAATGAGTACAGGGTTCTTCACGCACGTGGCGGAGTTTTAAAATAAAAACTGCAAAGTGGCACAGGTGGGACATTCACTCCCAGGGTAAAAAACCTAATTGAACTTATTGTAACACTGCCATATTAAACCCCTTCATCTAAAATTTTTAAACTGACTTACCATGGGTCCTAACCCCATCCGTACCGTGGTTTGAGGTTAGGTTGTCTTACGAGGAAGGAAAGGATTGAGGTTGGGTTAGGTCTAGGAAGGGGAGCGGTTGAGGTCGGGTCAAAAACAACAATATTATGAACGCTGCTGATTCTGCAAAGTATAAATTTCAAGCCTCTAAATAGATCATATTTAAAACGTGATCATTAAGGTATGTAAGGGAATTTCAGGTCATCCCAAATCCGGTCCAAGTGACTAGTTGCATTCCTCCTAAAAAAGTGCTATCTAATCTATTACAAGTCATTGTAACAACCATTTAGTCTACTGTTACATGACACTGTAACAACCACTTTGTTTACTGCTACATGCCACTGTAACAACCATTTAGTTTACTGTTACATGTCACTGTAACAACGACTTACTCTACTGTTACAGGTCACTGTAACAGCCACTTACTCTACTATTTTTCACTTAAAAGCCTGGAACAATCACTGGCTTGTGATATGCTCCTACAAGCCAGTCAGTACTGCAATATTGCTTACATAAATTCTCATTGCTCCTCTCTCTCTCTCTCTCTCTCTCTCTCTCTCTCTCTCTCTCTCTCTCTCTCTCTCTCTCTCTCTCTCTCTCTCTCTCACTAACAATAAGAAATAAATCCATATAGAACAAACGTGTCAATCTCGGCATTACATTTACAATTATTTTGCAAAATTTTCGTGACTTAGGTTTTTTCTACAACTATGAAAAGAAACTGAAAACCACTGGAATTTGTTTTGGATGGAACACAAAACGAGATACTATAACTAATTCAAAATTGAAAATTCAGCAAAAAATCTGCATCTAGCAGAGGTTTGCGATGACGTTTGGGTCCTTCATTGTCAAGAAGCGCTGAGGCGACTTAAAGCTAAACAAATACGAATGGGAAAAAGAGATTAATGGAACTAGATACAAGAATGATAAAAAGATAAGTAGAAGGAGAGAGAGAAGACACACAGATGCCACACAACACACCACACACACCACACACACCACACCACCCACCACACAACACCACACACACACACCCACAACACATACACAACCACACACTCACAACACACACACACACACTACCACACACACACACACACACACACACACAACACATACACTACACAGCATCACACACACACCACACTACACACACACACACTACACACACACACGAAACATATATACACATCACACAGTCACACACACATCACACACACCACAACACACACAACACAATCACACACTATCACACCATACTCAACATTCCCTTAACATTCGACCGCATTTCCACCTCAGCTCCCCTCACTTCCTCTCACTTCCCCTCAGCGTTCAACTCTCCCCTCTGCCTTCCTGTCCCTCATCGCCTCCAGCATACTGATGAGGGCCACCGAGATGATCTTCGCTTTATTGCACTAGCGGATCTGCTGTCAGAAAATACTTTGCTATTAGTGATGATGAAAGTGTGTGTGTGTGTGTGTGTGTGTGTGTGTGTGTGTGTGTGTGTGTGTGTGTGTGTGTGTGTGTGTGTGTGTGTGTGTGTTGTGTGTGTTTGTGTGTTTGTGTGTTGTGTGTGTGTGTGTGTTTGTGTGTGTGTGTGTTTGTGTGTATGTGTGTGTGTTTGTGTGTGTTTGTGTGTGTGGGGTGTTATGTGTGTTTGTGTGTGTGTGTTTGTGTGTGTGTGTGTGTACTCACCTAGTTGTACTCACCTAGTTGAGGTTGCGGGGGTCGAGTCCGAGCTCCTGGCCCCGCCTCTTCACTGATCGCTACTAGGTCACTCTCCCTGAGCCGTGAGCTTTATCATACCTCTGCTTAAAGCTATGTATGGATCCTGCCTCCACTACATCACTTCCCAAACTATTCCACTTACTGACTACTCTGTGGCTGAAGAAATACTTCCTAACATCCCTGTGATTCATCTGTGTCTTCAGCTTCCAACTGTGTCCCCTTGTTACTGTGTCCAATCTCTGGAACATCCTGTCTTTGTCCACCTTGTCAATTCCTCTCAGTATTTTGTATGTCGTTATCATGTCCCCCCTATCTCTCCTGTCCTCCAGTGTCGTCAGGTTGATTTCCCTTAACCTCTCCTCGTAGGACATACCTATTAGCTCTGGGACTAGTCTTGTTGCAAACCTTTGCACTTTCTCTAGTTTCTTTACGTGCTTGACTAGGTGTGGGTTCCAAACTGGTGCCGCATACTCCAATATGGGCCTAACGTACACGGTGTACAGGGTCCTGAATGATTCCTTATTAAGATGTCGGAATGCTGTTCTGAGGTTTGCTAGGCGCCCATATGCTGCAGCAGTTATTTGGTTGATGTGAGGTTTGTAGTCTCTGGCCCCCTAGACTGTACTCCGTCTGCGGTCTTCTTTGCCCTTCCCCAATCTTCATGACTTTGCACTTGGTGGGATTAAACTCCAGGAGCCAATTGCTGGACCAGGTCTGCAGCCTGTCCAGATCCCTTTGTAGTTCTGCCTGGTCTTCGATCGAGTGAATTCTTCTCATCAACTTCACGTCATCTGCAAACAGGGACACCTCAGAATCTATTTCTTCCGTCATGTCGTTCACAAATACCAGAAACAGCACT